TATATATTTATATATATATATATATGTATATGTATATATATATATATATATGTATATACATATATACATACATACACACACACACACATATATATATTAATTGGTGCTCACTGCAGAGCCATTTGGCCAGAGCTGAGCTCCAGCGAGGGGGAGCTTGAGCTCTCGCTCCTCCTTTCTTGCACTTCTTCTACGAGTGATGTCACTGGGGGTAGGGTAAAGGGGTGGGGTTGGTGAACGCATTAAAACAGCTTATAGGAGGAAATAGTAAATTGTACCTAATAAAATGACCAGTGAGTGTATATCCATATTCTTTACACCTTGGTTAAACTTATAAACAACTTTTACCGACCCAAAACTCTTGAACACCAGAGGCAAACCAGAGTTTGACCACATACAGCTAAAAGTGTGACAAGTGAAGCAAACAGCCTATCACAAACACTAAAAAAGTCAGTTTGAGTCATTTCTCATATAGGAACTCACTTCTTTGCTGAAGATTAAGAGATGTCATTATCAGAATATAAGGAATGTAAAATCATTTACAAGACATAAATTAACACTGCTCATGCAGCAAAAGCTTGCGAAACAACTGTAAATACAGCCATTTTTAAAGCTTTTTAAGCTTGATATGCAAATATATTAATTCACTTTTTCATTTAAGGCCATTTATTAATGTTAATTGATGAACTGTTTTAATATATGATTTTTTAAATTTATGATATTCAAATATAATTTAAGTATAAATAACTTTATTACACTGTTGTCTAATAAATGAAACATTCCAATCCAAGGTTCATCTAGGTGTATTGCAGATTATGCAAGTAAACCACAAGGAAATATTAAAATATGTAAAAAATATAAAACACTTATTTAGCATCTCCACATTGTACTGCTGTTACTGTATTTATTATTTTTAAAGAATTCAACTTTTGTTCAAACTATACATTTAAATGTGCTGATGTAGATACTGTACTGAGATATTCAGGTGTCCTCTTATAGACTGCAGAGACCGAGAGGATCTTAATGGAGGAAGTCTGTTCTGAAGAACTTCCGACACCTAATGGAGAAGATAATGATGATGATGATGGAGAGGAACTTGAGGAAGCAGGTACATTGACACATTATAAAAGTTATGAAACTAGATAATATTTAAGAGGCCTAAAGGGGACCATTTTTAGATGTCAGGGCTGTTTACATAAATTTGGCCTTCACTGTATTAATATTAAATACCATCACAGTATCTTGACTTTATTCAGGTGTATTGAAAAGCAGGAATTAGTACTTGCATATTACAGTACCTGCAGAAAAAAACATAATAATGCTGAAGTATGCCAGTTTAACGCTGTAAAAATAAGCAATATAACAGTAGGAAACTGCATTTGGCAATTACAGTACTGGACTATAAATATTATTTACATTAGTGGTAAGGAAGATTTTTTAAATTGAATTTTAATTTGATTTTAATTTGATTTTATTATTTAATTTAATTTAATTTAATTTAATTTTAGATATTTTATTTTATTTTATTTTATTGTCCTGCAAAGCTATTATTATCACGGCATGTGCCTTTTATCAGCATTGTCATCTAGAGTGGTGCTATTCCAAGCAGCAGGAACAAGTATACTAAATAAAAGTGTCTTGTCAGAGGATCCAGTGGGATATTTGAAAATACAGGACTTATTGTATTGCACTGATTGGCTATTAGCTGTAAATAGTTTGAATCATTTTATTGGAGAAAACTAACTTTAAAGAACTAAAATGGCTTGTCTTATTCTCAATAAGCAGCCTTTAAAAAAACTCAAAATACCCTACAAAAAAGAAGTCACCTTTACATAGCACTCTATACGTTGCAGATTGTATCAAAGCATTTTTACAGAGACAAACAAGCAGACAAAGTAGTCGGGTACAAAGTGTTTTCAATGTCAAATAAGATATACTCATAAAATACATCAAGCAGTTCCACAGAAATGCTGTTTTGTTTTTTTGTTTTTTGCTTCTGGTCTGAGTCATTGATGATTCAGCTCAGTTTTATAACAATATAAAATACTGCAAGTAAGTTGTGCATTATTAGGAGACTTGGCAACTCTGAAAGCAAAGCAATGGCAAACATTTAAGAAAAAGTGGTATGTAAGAAAATAAGGTGGTATGCTACAGATAATCCAGAAGTGCTGATATTGTGTATATGTGATTCTGTGATATTGTGTGTGTGTGTATATATATATGTTTACACACACACACAATATATATATATATATATATATATATATATATATATATATATATATATATATATATATATATATATATATATATATATATATATATATATATATATATATATATATATATATATATATATATATATATATATATATATATATATATATATATATATATATATATATATATATATATATATATATATATATATATATATATATATATATATATATATATATATATATATATATATATATATATATATATATATATATATATATATATATATATATATATATATATATATATATATATATATATATATATATATATATATATATATATATATATATATATATATATATATATATATATATATATATATATATATATATATATATATATATATATATATATATATATATATATATATATATATATATATATATATATATATATATATATATATATATATATATATATATATATATATATATATATATATATATATATATATATATATATATATATATATATATATATATATATATATATATATATATATATATATATATATATATATATATATATATATATATATATATATATATATATATATATATATATATATATTTATATATACATATATATGTATATATATATATATATATATATACACACACACACACAGTTGAAGTCAGAATTATTAGCCCCCTTTAGATTTTTTTCTTCTTTTTTAAATATTTTCCAAATGATTTTTAACAGAGCAAGG